GGACTTCATGGGACTCTTAGGAAGATAAAGGGGAAGAGGGAGGACCATGTATCTGGGATCCTAGGAGAAAAGGCAAGAGAGAAATCATTAATTATGCTAACTTCTTCCCTTCTGTCCTCTCCCTGCCCCCTTTGGTTGTAGGAAACTGTTGCCAAGTCTAAAATGCAAAAAGCCCCAGGATCTCGTCCTGGTGATTGGAACAGGCATAAGTGCAGCAGTCGCTCCTCAAGTGCCAGCCTTGAAGTCTTGGAAGGGCTTAATCCAGGCCCTGCTGGATGCTGCAATTGACTTCGACCTTCTGGAGGAGGAGGAGAGGAGAAGATTTCAGAAGTGTCTCGAGGACAATAAAAACCTCATCCATGTTGCTCATGACCTGATCCAGAAACTGTCTCCTGTGAGTTCAGGCACCCAGAAGGGAATGTTTTGCAGGCTTGAAATTAAAAAAAAAAAAATGCTTAAAATGGGTGAGGTAAAGATGGTCCACCAGGGATGGATGGATGGCCCTGCAAAATTTCAGCTGCCGAGTTGAATGCCATTGGCAGCAATGCTTTTGTTGAAACCAAGAGCACAGTTGACCCACTTAGCTTCCAGTCAGTTAATTGTCCTGTTTTAAATTCCATCCTCAAAAAAAGCTGAGCATTATATGATTGTGCCTCATCCAGCAGTGTCTCTGCTACACATTCCTCTGCCCATGGTCTTTGACTATTACTGTTAAAAAAAATGTGCATCCATGGGTGCAAAGAAGACCCCATCCTTTACTTCTAAAAGAGCCAAAGTTGGGTAGAGAGAAGGAATTGTACATCCAAACTAATTTGAGGATGGGAACCTATGTCAGTTTAAGGTATGGAGTCCAGTGATACATGTCACCTATTTCCAACCTGATGCCCTTCTGGTGTGCTATCAATTCCAGTAACCACATTAGCTTGGGATGATGAGAACTGAAATTCAGCACATCTGGGAGGCTACACGCTGGCACAGGTGGCATGAGATTCTGATCTTGGTGTGTCTGTTTCCTTGGCAGCGCACAAGCAATGTCCGTTCTTCATTTTTCAAAGACTGTTTGTATGAGGTCTTTGATGACCTGGAGTCCAAGATGGAAGACACTGGGAAGCAACTCTTGAGATCAGTGCTTCACCTGATGGAGGATGGTGCCCTTGTTCTGACCACAAACTTTGATAACCTACTGGAAATTTATGCAGCTGATCAAGGGAAGGAGCTTGAATCTCTTGACCTCACTGATGAGAAAAAGGTAATGGTGTCCCCTTTTCCTGTTCTAAGAGAAGAATCACATCTTATTGAGCAGTCTCCCATGAAAAAGCTTTAAAAGCTCCTGAAGCATTGCTTCTCTGTTGTCTTCTATGCCTTTAAATTGCAGGAGAAAAGTTACCTTCTTCTAGAACTTTTGCTACAACTTTAACAAATTCACGGGTCATTTAGATCTGTCTGCACAAGAGTGTCTAGAAAAAGCAAATAACGAAACTTCCTAAATGATTCTTTCCACAGTTTAGCTTCCAAAAGTCAAAATGCCGTCATGTAATTTTTTTTAATAAATTGACCTGATGCCTAATTTACTTGGAAAGCACATAAACAGTGGAAGAGGGATTTCTTTATGTCTAGTTTGATTCTCTGTGCTTGAGCTTCTGTATGCATTCCTGAACTTTGCCATTTGTGTGGCATTTTTGAATAATAAAATTATACATGTGACATTCCTGATTGGAGCAGGAAAGTTAAAAGAAGAGCATTACCAAAAGGAAATAGAGGGAACTGTATGACATACAAGTGTTGTAATATCTGAAATATGTATGAAAATCTTTTCTGTGTGCCATCCTTGGTTAAAAAAACAAAAAAAACTTTGTTAGAGTAGTCAAGGTATGGCAAAAGAAAAACTGCTAAAAAAAAAAAAGATGTTAAGCCATGTCTTCAATGATGTTTTAATGAATAAGCCAAAAGTGGTAGGATTTGAACATTGCAGTAAACCAAAAGCAAACAAACAATGTTGTGGCTTAGCATGATACATGTACACTGCCAAAATACATACTGCTTGCTTTGGTTCTCTCCCCAAAAGTGAAATTTTGAATGGTAGCCTTGCCTAGAATATCTATAAACTACTGTTATGCATTTGTATATTTGAAGTTGTACATTTTGAAAACCAAAATGTTGTGTATTTGTATCAATAGTAGATCTTCTGTACCACATAATAAGCAATCAAAATATAAATGGCCCTAAAATTACACATTTTATGTTCTCCTTTCTACTTCTGAAATGTTGGAAATAAAGTTTTGAGCAAGGAACAAGACATTAAGGGGAAATAACCAGTCAAATGAACAAATAGTGATTGGGAAGTTGATATGATTCTAGAATGGAGGTGTTGTCTTCTTTGTGTTGTTTAACTGCAATTTTCAGCCTAGATTGCTTACGTTGAATAGGTCCTTGAGTGGGCGCAGGAGAAGAGGAAGCTGAGTGTCCTTCATATTCATGGAGTCTACACCAATCCCAGTGGAATAGTGCTTCATCCAGCTGGTTATCAGAATGTCCTACGCAATGTAGAAGTTATGGTGAGATTTGCAGTCCCTGCTAGCTGTTGCTGACTTTGGAATGAAGAATGTTCTCATGTGGGAGGGCTGCTAGATGTTTTTGATTCTTGAGTTTATAAGCATTTAGAAATAGCCATGGTGTTGGAGGTGCACATTTGAAATTGGAACAATACAGGGAGGAGGAAGACAATATATAGATCCCTAAGGGGTCCATCTAATCCCCAGTTCTGTCCACCTTCAGCCAGCCATACTAGGCCAGAAAAGTTTTCCCCACATACGCAATACATAGTTCCTATCCAATATCAGCCTGCAGAGAATCTTTCAACATCCTGAATCCTGACTTTTTTTTTTTTAAAAACACTCTGCCCATTGAACTCTTCAGACAGGCTGGAAAAAGTGGAGAAAACGAATCAAGATTTGGCCAAACAAGTCACAGTTGCTTTGCTGATCTGCAGGGTTGATTCTGACTTGTGCAGGCATCATGAATGGTTAAAACAAATGTGGCTTCACTTTCTTTGCAGACCTTCAGTCCCTATTTGTCTCTGATCTGGTCTCCTCCAAAACAGGCACAGGATGAGATTAAAAAAATGCGTCCAGCTTTTAGGAGGGAGTGGAAACTAGTCCTTAGAATCTTCTCTCAGTAGCTTTCCAGGAGGGTTTTTCCATGGTGAACTACCTCTCCCATATTGAAGGATAATATGGCTTGCATGGGTATCTGCACAGCCTTCCAGCAGATGGCCATGTTTTCACTGCAATGATCTGATCTGGCTTTTTATTTTTATAATCCTAAAATTTTCCCTTTCTTATGAAAATAGAGACACTGTCTGTCTGTCTGTTTGCTTTGTCCTTTAAAGCGGGAGATCCAGAAGTTGTACGAAGCCAAATCTTTCCTGTTCCTAGGCTGTGGTTGGACTGTGGATGACACAACCTTCCAAGCCCTCTTCTTAGAAGCTGTGAAACACAAATCAGATCTAGAGCATTTTATGCTTGTACGTCGTGGGGATGTGGATGAATTTAAGAAACTCCGGGAGAACATGCTTGACAAAGGGATTAAAGTCATCTCCTATGGGGAGGAATACGCAGACTTGCCTGAATATTTTGAGAGGCTGGCAAATGAGATCTCCATCCGGGGTCAAGTGGGTAAGAAAAACAATACGTTTTCTAGCTGATGAGTTTAATGGCATGTAAAAACAATTCTCATCCCCAAGTCAAGGAGGATGTGGCCTTGGGTGTGCCCCCCACTCAGAGTTGCCTTTGAGTTCTCATTTTTAATGTGACAGATGGGGAGAATAATTCACGCAGTGCAATAGTAACTGTGATCTAAACAACATTTAAATGTAAGTTACAATTACAATTAATGTAAACTGGATATATAGTTTATCTGATTTAGTTTGTACTGGACCTGCCTGCTTTTTAGAAGTCTGGACTCTGAGGTTTTCCAAGTGGAGAGTTAGTTTAGGGGCTAAGATACTTCTGGATTTCTTTCATACGTTCTTTCACCTCCCTCTCTGTTCAGGCAACTGTTTTTTTTTGTTGTTTTTTTTTCCTCCCAGGTCCACTTCAGGAGGGACAACTGAATGGCAGAGTTACCGTGCGTATTGAAAGCAAAGGTACAGAACTTACTTAATATTCAAAATTCCTTGCAGTCAGCTTTGAGAAGATGAATCTTGCTAACCAGCAGCTACCACTCCCACTAAAATTGTCTTTTTGTGTGTGGTAGAAGCTTAGGACTAAACATAGCAGAAGGTTCCTTGCAGGGAATGGAAGACGCCTTAGGAAGAATGGCAGTACGTGCTTCCTTGCTTCAAAACTCCCAATAAGCCAGATTAAGGTGGTTTTTGTGATGATTCTGTGTTGGCAGAGGCATGAAGAAAAACAGTCCTAGTGGTCCTTACCGCTACAGAAGAACTAATTTGAAAACTTCTTTTATTTCTTAGGGAGGAATACTTTTTAAAAAGGGAACTTCCATGTTTCACAAGACACCTTAGCCTGAGTAAGAACTCTCTGAACTATAGAAGAAACCTGATTTGGTCAGGTGAAACAAATTGTGTGTGCTTCCTTGTGAGGAGTAACTAGGGTAATATCCAGGTGTTTGTCCATTCAGTTGCCAGGGGTTGGACTCAACTGGATGGGACCCACAGGGCACATGGATACTGTTCCTGATTAATTCTGCGTTCCTGCAGAAAACGCTCCTGATCACTTAATAGACCCCTTGTGCTTAGGAACAGGAAGCACATTCAACAACATATGTTCCCAGTTCTGTTTGTTGCAAGATCCCCTTGTCAAAAACTGCCTAGCCTGTTTCAGCATCAAGGATCCATGGGTGAGAAGTATCATTTCTGCTAAGAGAAGTAATGTGATGCATAGAAGATCTGCCTTTCATTTGTAGACTGTGATCCTCTCACCCATCACACTTACAAGGCAGAATTTCTCAAAGCTGTCGTAAGTTATCACTCCATAAACTTGATGTTGTATGAGGATGGATCTCATTGTTGCGAGAGTTGGTGATTTGCCATATGGTTGGTAAACTTGAACACGTGCCTTTTCAGTCTTCTGGAAGCTAGCTTGTTAATCATTTTGGCCATTTGTGTGGTTACCAGCCCTTCATGGTTCTCCACATTCTTATAACATCTCCCTTCAGTAAGGACAGACAATATCTGAAGATACTGACTACTCAGGGAGTAACTGAGAGCGCTTGGCATATTGCTAGAGCAACAGTGACATGCTGACTGGAGGAATTCTGGGAGTTGAGGTCCACACATCTTAATGTTGCTGAGGTTGAGAAACACTGCCGTAGATTAAGGCATTATGCTGGGAACTCCTTCTAAGACATGAGATTTTCCCAGGGATGTGTGATGAAGATATGTTGATCAATGTGATCTCATTTTTCATTTAGGTTTTGTAACAGTAAGGAAATCTAGCTTCTCCTTAAAACTGAGAATTTATTACTACTATTTTGATATTCTGTAAAGGTTTAGACTGAACCACATGAGCATTTTAAAAAAAAAAAAGTCAAGCTCTAATTTTCTAAATCTTTCTTTTATACATTGTATAAATCTGAAGCTGGGATTTTTAAAAGTTCATTTGTCTGATTTACATGGGCTTTTCATAAATTATGGCTGCTAATGATGATGATGGCCTGCATAATATGCACACTTTTGGTTAACTAACCCATGGTTTACATAACTACCCAATTTTCTGGGTTTGCACAATACAGTGCACTAAAATATAGTTGGCTAATTTGTGCTTCAGCTGTTTGCTGCGGTTAAGAATGCTGGTCTGAAGCTAGCTTGGCTGGACACATTAACCATATTTTGTCTGCTTTCATATATTACTAAATTGTGACCTTTTAAGCTATTGTTTGCTGAATAAACAAATGTCATGGTTTGTATGTGATACTAAGCCAGAAATAAACCACATGAAGGCTTGATGCTTGTGTGTTCATCTGGTCTTTAATAGTCTAAGTGGCATAACAGACTCTGGATCAGCAAAAGTCTTCTGATTTTTGTTTCAGCCTGTCCAGTGAGGAGGTGGCTGGGCAGGGAACGTATTCCTTATTCCTGCTTGTTCAGATGAGATTAAACTATGGGATTAAAGTAATGTGGGAATGTATCCAGTCGCAACAGCTTCTGTGAATCCTGCTGCTGTAAGGCTGGAGGTCCTCCTAAAATGATCCTGCAGTTGGGACTAGCAGGAGCAGAGGAACTGAAAGTGAGCAAGCTGTGTACTCAGAAAACCTGTCCGTCAGTCATGCTGGATCTTAGAGAAGTCGGCTTTTCAAAGTCCAGGAAGACAAAGAAAAGGTTTTAGAAATTTTATTATATAAATTTTCAGCAGGCAGCGTTCAACGTATTGCACTAGAGCACATCTGCAGTGCCGAGCTACCAAGGCGTCTTCATGGAGACGTTGGTGTTATTCAACACAGCACTTTATACTGGGATCAAGAGGCACTCTGAGAGGGGAGGGGAGGGGAGGGGAGGGGGAGGGGAGGGGAGGAAGGCAGCAGGCAGCCACCAGCATAATCCCCAGGAGAGGAGGAGGAGAAAGAAGCAGACAGGTTGGTTTGGAAAGCAAAAGCCAGTGCAGGTGGAGTGGCATGCAGTGGCTCCTGCTGGCTGTTTGTGTATCTCTCCCCCTTGATGGGTGAGGTGAGGCAGTGACTTCCAGAACCAGCTTCTTTATGGGAGTGGGAAACCCACTCCTGAGGCCGAAAGCTCATCTGTCAGAATTAAAATCCATCCAAGGACTTATTTTTCCCTTTAGGGAAAGGACCCTGTTGGCTGGGGGAAGGGGCCAGATAAAGGAACTGTCCTCAGAGAACCATCAGGAACACAACCACCTGCTTCGCCTGTGTGGATTGAAGATCGTGTGCAAAGTTGCCACGTAGGGTCATCACAGACAATTCAGACAAGCTTAATGTATAAGGGCTTGACAAGGCGACTTTGTGAAGGAATCAGCAGCCCTCACACTCATACTTCCTCCTCCTAGAACAAAAAGATTTACCCTTACTCTGTTGTTTTTTCTGATCTGCAGTTGGGGTGCTGTTGTGATCAAAACCAGCTTACGAAGCCTATGTCATGAGCAACCTCTCTCTGCTCTATACAATAATCAGGGACAGCTAATTTACTGCTAGATGCCTTTCTCCAGGCATCACCCCTTTTGCTTTTGACTCTCCCCCCCCGCCCCAAATGTAATCCAGAGTGGCTGCTCAAGCCCAAGGCAGAGTCTGAAGTATGTCAGCAAGTCCAAGGGCTGGAGCACAACTCTCTTCCCCAGCTCTTGTGACACCACTAACCCAGGATGAGCTGGAGGGAGGGAGGGAGGGAGGGAGGGAGGGAGGAAGGGAAAAAAAAGGAAGGCTTACTGGACAAGGGAGAATAAAGCAAAGAGATGCTGTAGACAGCAAATGCTTCAAGAAAGACTCTTCCCAAAGAACTTTAGAGCAGGACAAAGTCATTTTAAAGAAGTGGAACACAACTGAAGACAGGCAGCTCTACTAAAATTAAACTCCATGCACTGCAGGGAGGGAAGTGTGCAATATGTAATGAAATGAGGACAGTGGCTTTTTTTCCTAGCGTTCCTCTATTCTCTTTTGCACTATGCCAAAAAAAAGGGTGGGGGTGGGGGAAGATTCCAGGAAAAGTTACAGTTGGAAAGCACATTCCAAGACATCTGCAGACAGGAATTTGGTGCAATGATGGATGCTTAGGCCTTCATAAGAGCAGCAACTACAGCCTTGGCATTAAGGCTACGCAGGTCACAGTAGGTCTGTCCAGTTCCCACAAACACAATAGGTTTGCTAGTGATGTATGTCATGGAGATGGCTGCACCCACCTGGGGAGGAAAACAAAGAGTACGTGTCTTACAGGCCTTCAGGGGACAAAGCAAATTGGGATAAACTTGCAGAGCTCTTTTAAACCAAGCAACCTTATATCCCCATGGGTATAACTGCAAAGGAATTATTACTCTGGCTTCCGTAATTAATGTACAAAGCAAACTAAACAGTCTGGATTTTTCTGAAGCCAGAAAAGTAGCCGTTTTGTTCTCTTCAGACAAGGAATGGCCCTCATATCAGGCATCTGAGGCTTCCTGCAAGTCTTTTAATTCCTGAGCCTTCCTCAAAAATTGCCCATAGGCAGCCAAGCTGATCTAAGATCCCTCCCCCACTGCCCCAAGCAGGGTAACCAAATGACCCAACATTTACCTTGTCATCAATGGTGTCAAACTTGGTGAGAACAATTCCATCAATGAGACGTGGGGACTGAGCCATGGAGTAATCTGCAAGGGCTTTGTTAAATTTGACCTGAGGAGTGGTGGAAGGAAAAAAGGAAATAGACTTGGAAAAGTCTGCATACAAGTAGACTATCAGCCTTTCTCCCAGAAAGCTTTTTCACGCTATGTGGGGTAGAGCCTTCAGTGTACCACACAACTGATCTACAGCCTAATTCCTGGCTGTAACACACTGTACGATAAGCACCATTCAAAGGACAGAAGGGTTGGACTCCTGAGTTGTAGCTCAGCGTAAGGCTCAAATCCATTGTCAGCATCCCTTTCCCTCACTTTTTGGAAGTTTAGGTAAAGCAGGTGTGTGAAGCCTCACTCACTCAAGGGCTCTTTTGGTTGTTAAAAAAAAAAAACACTCCATAAAGTTGCCGAATGATGGAAGAGGCACAATCCTCAATGACTTCCAGGATCACAAAAAATCATCTGGGAGTTAAAAACACATCCTGCAGTTCGCCTGCCTCTGGTTTATGGCGTGGATATTATAATGTGAACCAGACTAAAACAAGCCACCCTCCACTTGAGCTGGTGTGGAATCCCAGCTCAAATGCTGAAATACTTACCAGCTGATCCACAGCCTCGTTTCCCACCAGAGCTTCTCCCACGAACAGAACAAGATCCGGGGTGTTAACTGCAATGAGTTTAGCCAGAGCTGTCATCAGGGGAGCGTTGTCTTGCATACGGCCTGCCGTGTCCACCAAAACCACATCAAAGCCTTGGTTGCGTGCTGGCAAGGAAAAAAGAGGGGTGAACGGGCCATCCTTGGTAAAAGGAGCAAGGCTGGGTCAGAATGGTTTATGTTCTCTTGTATCCTCAGAAATGGAGAGCAAAGGCCAGAGAGGAGACAAGACATTTCAAGCACTAACATGATTGGGTGGGGGCAGAGATGTGATGCATGGAGGGTGAGGGAGGCCTTACCGTATAAAATGGCCTCCATGGCAATACCGGCTGCATCCTTCCCATATCCCTTCTCATAAAGCTGCACCATGGTGCGACCACTGTGACTCTCTGGTGGATGCAGAGTATTCAGGCGGCGAGTATGAGTACGAAGTTGCTCCACGGCTCCGGCACGGAAGGTATCGCAGGCAGCAATGAGGACGCTATACCCGTTTTCAATCAGCCAGAAAGAAATCTGGAGAGTGGGCAGAAAGAAGAACGTGAGCTTGCCAACTCCTCCCAGCCAACTTCTGAACAGGATTTAAGGACAAAAGTGTCACGCCTAGCCCGAGGAACTCCAGGAGACCATGCAGAATCAATCCAGCAAGGTTTATTAGCTACAACCTCTTAACAAGAATCTTC